GAAACCACTACCCTAAACCAGTTTTTCATCCCTCTGTAGACGACCCAAAGACTAAAATAATCCCGCTACCACAAATGTGCCCTTATCCATGACTTTCACATCACAGATATCAAATCATGGAAACATTCCTAATGGAATCACTTCAGCCATCTTAAATGTACCTAGGATCTCCAAAAGCCTGAAAGAATGTCGACCTGAATTCTCACACTCAAGTCTTTCCACCCGTATCATGAAAATGGGCATGGGGCTCTCCCTTTGATTCTCCCAAAAAGGAAATTCTCCCCTGCCCAATGCAAAAGTCAAATACAACTAAAGGCAATTAACTAACTTAATGTAGTGCCTCTTTAGATTTGTACAAACAGATCATGAAGGGATTTCAGTGGTAAACACCACTCCCACTTGCTAATTTGAACCTTGATAAAGCACAATGAAAATCAGAATTTGGGTTATTAACATCTACCTTTAAACATACAATAATAAACTAAGCAATTCAATAATAAGAATAAAGCTGGCAGGTATAAATAATTCAACCAAAAACAGAATAATTCATTTTTTGGGAGGAAATTGGGAAGGGGAAAGTATTCTAGTTCAGCCTCAGAGTAATGTTGTTATTACAGCAAACTCAACATGAGAGGCTTAGTTATAAAAAGACCAAAAACGGAGCTTATCATAAGGGTGTTTACTTCTAAGGCAACCCTACCACATGGATCCTCAACACAATAGTGGGCTCCAGTGTATGTATTTAAGGGAAAATTCTTAGAAACAGTAAAATGAATATAAGTGGCTTTCAAAGGACCAAGCAAGGAAAATCTTTGCTTTCTACTTTCAAGATTAAGAATGCAACAATGAGAATCTGGAACAAAACAAAATGGGCATCAAGTATCATTGTTTCTCTGAGAAATTTCTGAGAAATCTTTTGGTTTGTCAGCAAGCCTTGAAGATTCCATTTAGTCAAGGTATCCTACACTTCTACAGATGTCTCTCTGAAATTAGTTATTTTGTGCTATCTCCCCAACAAATATAGATGGAAACTTCTTAAAGGCAGAATCAATTTCTTTTCCTGTTCCTGTTCTATTAAAGGCTTATCAATGAACAAATAAAAGGGAAAAACTGGAGTTCAGACTGCATTCAGACTAAATGACACTATCTGACCATATATGCTGGGACTCAGAAATTCAGTTTCCTAATTTTGCTTAATATTTTCCCCTGCAAAGGAGCTTAAACTATTTTCTATGCACATTTAATGTTAAATCAGTGCCACTTTCTTATTTCCCTAACTGAAATTAATGCAATTCCTTTTTGGCATGTTTTCGAACACATCCATAAACTACTTTAGAAGTGATAGGTATTACACTCATGGGTTTTTGAGAAACAGTTTCCATAAAAACAAAAGCCACAAAAGGGACACTAGCAAAAACGCCTTTGAGTTCCATTTACAAAGGGATTTATTTTCATTAATAAAAAGCTAAGCGCTGTTTCCTACAGATCACATGGGACAGAAATAAGGGAAAAAAATGTAACCACTATTAAAAAGCTAATCATGGCTGGGTGTGGTGGTTCATGCCCGCAATCCTAGCACTCTGGGAGGCTAAAGCGGGCAGATAGCTCGAGGTCAGGAGTTCGAAACCAGCCTGAGCAAGAGTGAGACCTCGTCTCTACTATAAATAGAAAGAAATTAATTGGCCAACTAATATATATAGAAAAAAAAAATTAGCCGCGCATGGTGGCACATGCCTGTAGTCGCAGATACTCGGGAAGCTGAGGCAGGAGGATTGCTTGAGCCCAGGAGTTTGAGGTTGCTGTGAGCTAGGCTGACGCCATGGCACTCACTCTAGCCTGGGCAACAAAGCGAGACTCTGTCTCAAAAAAAAAATCTAATCATTGCTATATGTATCTGACATGGGAATGGCACAAGTCAACCACTGGCAAAAAATCTTTAAGAAACTGTTGCACCAAACCCTTAGCTAGGAAATCCGTGGAGAAATAGACAATAGCTTGCACCCCTCTGAATGTAATCCCATTCAAAAATTAAAAATGAATTATACTACGCATATTTAACACAGCAAGTCAAATTACTGAATATGCAGGCCAAAAAAGAGAGAAAATAGCAACTTTATTATTTTTTATTTATTTTTTATTTTATGAGACAGAGTCTCACTTTGTTGCCCAGGCTAGAGTGAGTGCTATGGTGTCAGCCTAGCTCACAGCAACCTCAAACTCCTGGGCTCAAGCAATCTTGCTGCCTCAGCCTCCCAAGTAGCTGGGACTACAGGCATGTGCCACCATGCCCGGCTAATTTTTTCTATATATATTAGTTGGCCAATAAATTTCTTTCTATTTATATAAGAGACGGGGTCTCGCTCTTGCTCAGGCTAGTTTTGAACTCCTGACCTCGAGCAATCTGCCGGCATCGGCCTCCCAGAGTGCTAGGATTACAGGCTTGAAGAAAATAGCAACTTAATACCAGCAATTCTGCCTGCCACTTCCCACTTAGTGAGCACTTGCTCCAGAAGGAGCCCAAGATAAGAACCACAAACAAACTGTTCCCTTGGTTTGTCTTCTTACTTTTAAGCCTCCTCAGGGCAAGCATCTCTCCTGCATCATGACTCTAAGCTTTTCAAATATGTTTATTTGTCCACCCAAGACCCTAAAGGTAACCTAATTACTCTATCTGGGTTACAACCAAAGAAACAGTAATAAATTTCAAAGCTGAAGGGAAAACTGTACTTGATTTAGTCTGAAACAGGATTGTAATCTCAAACTTTGCATCTTCCTTGGGAATTTTTGAGGATGATTTTGATCACATGCAGTGTGTGCCTCACAGGCTGACTTAAAAACTTAACTCCTACATGAGCTACATATTGAAACTGTGTAAGAGGAAAAGGTTTTCACCAACACACACTCCTGGAATTACTGACGTCCCTGCCCTGTGCTCATCCGCAATGCAATCTGTTCAGATCGCTCCCGTTGACCTACAGTGTAAACTTCTCCAAAACAGTTCCTTATTTACCCGGGAAAGCTATGGAGAGCAATTAATGATAAAGCCACCAAAAAGTTTTCTCTGTGAGCAATCCAGACCACCAGGCCTTGCTCCAGAGAACGTTAGGTTGGGCCTGGTTTTCCTGGTTTAGTTTAGTTTAGTTCTTAGGTTTAGCCTAAGTGTACAAGGAAACAATTAAGCATCACTTCCCTATTCTAGAGGACTGAACAAAGGCTTTGCCGTGCATGATTACGATGGAAAAGGAAGTAGCACGATAGGAGAAATGGCAGCAGCGCGGAAGAGAGTCCTCTCTGCACGCAGCCGCAGCCGCCGTCCTCTGGCCCTAGCCCACCCCCAAAGAGTGTCGGAAAACACTACCTTGGACTCAGCTGCAGTTAAAATGTTTCTTAAAACCATCTGAGTGGCCCCAGGTCTGTGAGCTGGCTCAGCTACAGCAACGAGTCTGGTTCAAAAAGCCATGGATCAGCAAGGAAAAGTTGTGGGGCCGCAAGAACTAAGGAGGCGGTGGAGAGTTAGAAGGGGGAGCCTCGCAAGGTTCCAAACTCAAGTCCGCTCTGTCTCCCGTCATCATTCTCGTCCCGTTCAGGATCATCCTTTCACTTCAAACTACACTCAGCCCTCCCCTCCTCCTCCTAATACCCCATTCTTCTTTTTTGTTTTGTTTTGGTTTTTGTAAAGCAAAGATGCTAAAGTTACAGACCTTAGCACCAGACAGACCTAAATTCGAAGCCAGGCCAGGCCACGTCCTAGCTGTCTGGCCCTGCATACATCACGTCTTTCGTGCCTCAGTCTTCCTATTACGTAAAATGGGTATGATAATAGTATGCACTTCGGAGGACTGCAGTAGGGATTAAATAGAATGAATCATATAAGGTGCTTTGTAAAGTTCTGGCACCTATCCCTATAACATTATTATCGCGTACAGGCGGTTATTATTAGTACGATTCGGTGGGTTTCTTCCCCTTCTCAACACCCTGCCCCTGACTCGCCTTCCTCCTACAGGCCCCCCGATGGCCTCCCACACTCTTTTATCTCACGCGCCTCTCTCCAAGAAGCACGGAGCCTCTTACCCTGACCAGCAGGGCCCGCGGAGCGCTGGCTGGCGGACTGGCGGGCTGACTCCCCCGTCAGCAGCAGCGGCGGCAGCGGTGGAGACGGCGGCCTCTGCCCCGGAGCTCTCCTCCCTCTGCCCCGGATCTGCTCCTAGAACCGAGCGAGCCAGTGAGATGGGCGCCTCCATGCCCAGAGTGGCCTTACGTACCGCCCACAAACAACCTGACTACACCACTCTACCCACCCGATCCTCCCGACTCGCCTGCTCTCTAGAGTCACTCCAGACGCGCGCGCGCGCCTGCTCATGCCCGCTCCTCCCCCTTTGCGCGCCCCGGTGACTCTGTGCGTGTTCGCTCAGCCCAGGAGCTCGCGGGGAACAGCGCGCAGGCGCAGAACCCAGGCGGCGCCGCGAAAAAGGTGGGGCGGGGCGGCCTCTAAGGACGCATGCGGAAGGCGGCCCGCCCTAGGCCTTCGCGCGATTAGTTGCGCTGGATCTGTTCAAACACTATCCCTACTCCTCCTCCATTTCGCTTCTCCTTCCGCGCGCCCAAGGAAGGGGCGTGGCCTAGAGCTAGCCCGTGGGCGTGGCCCTGGAAGTACCAAAGGGCGTGGCCCGTCGAAATCGCTTAAATTACTACGCCCCCGCCCCCCTGCTTGGAAGGACGGTTAGGATCGTTGGCAGGAAGGGGCTTTGGGGGAGGTTGATGGGGAGAGAGCCTGACCTCTCCTTCTGTGTTAATGCGGCCCCCTGGATTCTCTCACTTACAAAGCATCTACCTCACGGGTTCCTTTCCGGTAGACAATTCGCTGGGGCTGGGGCGGCACTCCCAAAGCGAGCCTGGGTGACGTCCGCCAAGGCCCGCCTCCCTCCGTGCCTCACAGAGCCGGACGAGGAGCGTTGCCATAGCAACTGGCCCGCCAAGGCCTGCTCGAATTACAAAGAGGAAGCGCCTCCACAGGGGGAAGCTCCCGCCGGGGCGTTCACTAAGCCCCGAGACCTCGGCGGACGAGCAGTGACCCAGTCACATTGTAGTTTCCAGAGCCTTGGGGCCCCGGCCTAGCCCAGGACCTCCTACGGCCCTGCTGCCAGCCCATTGGTTCTCTTTTAATCCTGCATGGAGAGAGGGCTCGCCTGCCCTGGGTAGCGGGTGACGAGGCTGGGACGCGCCACTGCCTCGTGTTCTGCGGCAGTGGGGAAGAAGACAAAGCCGCGACTTCTCGCACGCTGCCTTCAGTTGGGGGCCGCCCCCGCGGTCACTCTCGCAGGCGCTCCGCCTCGGTCCCTGAGAGGAAGTGGGGGTGGCCCAAGCGCGGGTCCAGTCGTAATCCCAGGTGTACCCCTAGTCACCAGCGAGTGGCCTTCCTGCTGTTCACTTTTCACTTTTAAACCTTTCCCCCTAAGAGGATTCTCCAAAATCTTACTCCCTTTTCCTAGGTTGGATGCGGAGCTGGCCTTAAGCGGCAGTTTCAATCGGGATTCCCAAAAGCTGTTCCCCGGGGAGTCGAACTCCCAGCTCGAAGGCACTTTCCGAACTCCACTCCTCTTCTCCCTTCCAAATGAGCGTCTGTCTCCTTCTCTATAAATTAAGGATACGAATGACTGTCTCTCAAGATTGTGGTGAAGATGAAATAGTTAATAAAGGGAAAAACACCCCGTACCGAGGAAGATACATGAGAGTGTTCAATAAATAATTGTTTCTGGACTGTTCTCTCTGCAGTAGTCAGTGTTTATTAGCTCCGCTGCAGGACTCGCAATCATTCGGTCGAGGAATACGGCGATGGAGGAGGCAGGCGAGACACCTTTCCCCCAGTCAGTTCTGTGGATTTCTAACATCCTTTCACCCACTTGTGATTAGATTCAAGACAGGCTGGCCCTACCAGACAGGCACCAGTCACACGAAGAGCAGCCTCCACAATCCTTGCTTGGAATTTTGTTTTTTTCCTGCAGCACCGGGCCTGGTGTGCACTGAAACAATCAAACAGGAAGCACCAGCTCCATCCCCGCCACCACCCCTCACCCAGAACTGCATGTTCATGTCTCGGATTCTTGAAGATAAATATAAAACACAGATGGGTGGTATTTCAGGAGGCATTGGAGTGTTTTAAATTTTAAACAATGGATTTTACGTGGTATGTGAGCTATTGCAAAATTAGAACAATTGTAGAAGTTTACTGATTCTTGATGGGAGGCCCCAGATGAATGAGAGGGTAGGTGGAAAAGAATATATTCAATAATATAATTTCATCTTCGAGAAAACCTATTATTTTTTGCACTGCAAACGACGGGAAGTCAGGTTTGAGAAAAGTCTCAGTTGGGAGAGTGTAGGTTTAAAACAATTGAGAAACACTGGTTATAAAATGGGTCTTCTTAAGAACCAGCCAGCCAAGCCTTCCTGTTATTCTCAGTTGTAAATAAATCTAACATAATGCATTTTGTAAAAGTATAGTATGTGTAGGGAGATCAAATCCAAAATATATATCTGGGTTTGAAATATTCTGAAAATGGAGAGGAGGGTAATTGCCTCCAGGTCAGTACCACTATAAATCACCTTCTGAGCCCACATCTCAAAAACCTGATACATACAGCTGGATGGCTGTCAATTGACTGATTATATTTTTTAAGTTTTTAACCCCCTAAGGCATAGCCAAGGTCTGTCACTTTGCATAATGTTGCCTATTATCAGATTATATGTTTAACTGCAAAATGCACCCAATTGGCTTTTTTTTTGTATTTGGGCTTAACTTCCTGCTTTTGAAGGTGTGTTGTCCCTGCTTTTCCTACATAATACAAATACCTTCCTTTTGCTCCTAGAAATTATCAACAGATCATCAAACTTCCCTTAAATATATATAGAGCGAGGGTCATGTTTCATGTCTAAGCAAGTATTATTTTGATTACAACCAAAAATAAAAATCTTCTACTCTACGATGATTTCAGGTTTCTGAAATATTTTCAGAGTTCATTTTTTTCAAATCTGGAAATATCAAATCTACTCTATTCATATCTTATTCAACTTCTTCCTTAGAGTCTACTAAAGTAACCACATTTCAAAATCTACTTATAATAATCATAGACCTTTAAATATCCAAAGCTCAGAGGGTCCATAAAAATGTTCTAACCAATACATCCACTAATGTCACAGAAAGGAAGTAAATAACTTGATTAAAGTCAGCTAGCTCCCAGTGATAGGACTGGGATTTGAATCTTCTGACTCCCAGTAGAGTATGCAGGATTAGGTGTTCCTCCAGTCAGTGTTGCTTATAGTCTATTTGCTGTGATTGGTGCCCCATGTTGACCCTGGAGGATACACTGGTGAATGAAACAGACATAATTCCTGGCCTCATGGAGGTTAGTTAGCATTTGGTGGCAGGGATTGACAAAACAAGTAAGCAAGCATTCAAGTAAGAAATAAAAAAATAATGGCCAGGCAGCGTGGTTTATGCCTGTAATTCTAGCACTCTGGGAGGCCAAGGTGGGAGGATAGCTTGAGCTCAGGAGTTCCAGACCAGTCTGAGCAAGCGTGAGACCCTGTCTCTACAAAAAAAAAAAAAAAAAAAAATAGAAAAATTATCCAGGTGATGTGGTTTTCTCCTGGAGTCCCAGCTACTTGGGAGGCTAAGGCAGGAGGATCGCTTGAGCCCAGAAGTTTGAGGTTGCAGTGAGCTATGATGCTGCCACTGCATTTTAGCCAAGGTAACAGAGTGAGACAAAAAAAAAAAAAATTGTGATTGCTATCATGAAGGACACTAATGGAATAAACTGGCAAAGAATGACTTGATTAGGGATAATCAGGTGAAATAACTTGGATGAAGGTCAGAGAAGGCCTCTCTGAGGAGGTGGCATTTAGGCAGAGATGAGGACAGAAGGACCAAACCAGAGAGAGGAGAAAGATGGGCACCAGAAGCTGGGGGCAGTAAATTTCAGGCAGAGCATAAGTGAATGTTGCATGCTAGAGGCAGAGAAAGGAGGCCAGGGCAGCTGCAGAGACGAACCAAAGGCAGAATGGCCCAAGATGAGGCTGGAGAGGAAAGCAGAGGCCACATGCTCTATTCAAAGTGCAGCAGGATTCATTGGAAGGATATATAACAAAAAACAAAACAAAATTATAATGAAAAAGTACAGCAGGAAACCCTGAAGGATTTTACTCAGAGGAATGACCTGATCCTGATTTATGTTTTAAAAGATTACTTTGACTTCTGTGGACATAAAGACATTTTAATTTTTTTATTTGAATTACACTAAATTTAGTACAAAAAAACAGCTATCTTCTCCCAGACATGGTAAATATGTTGCCTATGGAAATATTAGATGACCACCTTAAGTTAATTTTTACTAGGTGATTCTGATTAAGAATGAGTTGCACTACATCCTTTTGATTATTGTTATTGTGAAAATCTTCAAGGCTGCTGATTGAACACTAGTACTTTACAAAGAAGAAAGTTGATCTCTGTACAGAGTTAGATGGAAACATAGGCTGATGGAAAGAGCAGATAAGCACATTACTATAGTTAAGTTGTCCTTTGGGGCACTCTAGGCAGTTCTAAAACATTCTCTTCCCTGCTCTGTGTGTATACAACAAACCCATAGTCTCTGATGTCACAGCCAAATCTCAACATCTCTGTTACTTTTTTTATATGACCAGTGTTGAGACTCTTCTTTTGAACTTCTGTAATATTCTACAATGTCCTAGGAGCAAGGGTGCCCCAAAGGCTTCAGAATTTCTCTAAAGTTTCCAACCAGATGTGTGTTTCGGGTAAGGGGTAATGAATTCCATAGAAATTGCTAAGCAAGATTATAAATCTCAACTCCAGATCATCAGAGGTTAGAACTGGGAGAGGCCTCAGAGACCCACTCAATCCAATTCACTCATTTTATGGATGAGGAAACTGAAATTTAGAGAGGCAGAGGTCACACTGCTGGTAGGTGGCAGCACTCTGTTTGAACTGGGACCTGCCTTCTCCAAGGCTCTCAAGGTTCTTTTCAAGATCAGCCAGGAGGAGGTCATCTTACATAACCCTGAGATAACAAGAAAGCTGAGCAATCCCCTAAAGACAGGATGCAGAGAAAGCCCAGGAAGACTGGAAAGATGCTCTCCTCTTTAAGGCTCACCCGGAAATCAAATATTTACTGAGAACCTACTATGTGCCAGAGTTATTAATGCCATGGAAATACATGAAAGCCTTATATGACATAATTATTTAAAATATTACCTGCTACTCCAGGGAGTGTTGACCCCATAAGCTAAAAAGTTCAGAAAGAATAGAACTGGGGGCAGAAGAGTGGACTGAAACAAGAAGGAAATTCTGGGTGTGAGGATCAGTACAAGCAAAGATACAGATAGGGATAACAGGAAGTAGGAAAAAAGTTTCTGCACATTACAGTAGGTAAACAATAAATGTTTGCACATAACTGTGATGCCTAGAACATTATAAAGTAGGAAGGGATGGGAACTAATGTCATATGAGGGGAGCCAGAGCAAGGTGTGCCTTGGAAGTCAGGTAGTAATTTGATCAATGCACAATACAGACTTGTTCTGCCAAAGGATATATACATTACATAAATACCTGGAATATTGAAAAAAATATTGGTATCTCTGAAAGGAGAGATGAGGAAAAACAGGAATAAGTTGTACAAGGTGTATTTAATTTGTGAGCAAGCATTGAATATTTACTGAGCTCTTGCCTTGTAGGCAAGGAAAGATAACCAAGATGTGGTACTTTATTAGCCAAGTAAAATCTGACACACCTGTACTATCAATGGAAAAAAGCCAAACTCTGCAAAATAATTTTAAAGAGATTTATTCTGAGCCAAATTTGAGGACCATGACCCAGAGCAACTGCCAAGAGGCCTTGGGCAAGTGTGAGCATTTTAGTTCACAGTACAATGGGACAGCATGCAGCCATTATAAAGAATATGGCAGCTCTTAAAGGTACTATATGGAACAATCTCCACGGTCTGAGTGTTAAGTGAAAAAAGCAAGGTGCAGAGCAAATACGTATGGTGGTGTTGCCGAAGGAGTGGCAGGAGTTGTACACATGTCTGTTCACACAGGCAAGCTCCAGAAAGATATACAAAAAACTGATCACAGGAGTTGCCTTTTGGGAGGAAAATAAGGGGACTGGGAAGAATTTTAATAGACTTATTTTTCAATGTACTTTTTTTATCCTTTTGCATTTTATAGCATATGCACGTATTGCCTATTCACAAATAATTTTTAGAAATTTCCAAATAAATTTAAGCTTCGGAATAATCAATGGGAAGTAAAAATGAGAGAAAGAGAAGTAAAATTTTAAAAAAAGAAAAATAAATAAATAAAAAGAAATTTACAAATAAAAACTCAGCTCTTTTACAAAAGTGCTCCCTATTTCATGTTCATGGGTTCTCTACCCTACCTTCCCCTGTTTCAAGCTGTAAACTTACCCTCTGTGGTTGAACCTTTCCTGCGTGTCTCTCCCTTGCCTGTCTTCCACGGGAAGAAAAGCAATAAAAAGTAAGAAAATGAGGTCCTCTGGTCATCAGCTTGTACCGCCTACTTTTTATCTGACACCCACCTCTTTTACTGAACCTGCCTCCCATGGGATAGCCACACTTTCTTAAGTTGTGAAAGACGAAGGAATTTTTTAAAAAGACAAAAAGAGGGGAAAAGCTCAGAGTTTGGCCAAATACAGTTTTTTTCAAGCTTCTGATTGAACTGCGTATTTCCTCTCA